TAGTCTGAGATTACTGCAGTGGAGTCCATGTTGGGAAATATTAAAAATAATCTCTGTGTGAATAGTAACTGGGTATTTTTATGTTCCTAAACTGGGTTTTACTGACTTTTACATTCCTTTCTGGACAAGAAGGCAACAATAACACCTCATCGCCTCAGCCTGAGGTACATGTCTAACAGGAACAAACGCATCAGCCCAGAGTCACGCAGAGGCTCCAGGCATTTCAATTATTGATTACTGTTGATTTATTCATGCTTATTTATTGCTGAGTAATTTAAAACTTCTCATGTTTCCTTTTCCTGTGTCTTTGAAAACAGTAAGATTATCTGCTTTATGCTTTTTTTCTGCTCATATACTGGCTCCCAAAAATCCTTTTATCAAGCAATTTCATTTGTGTAGAGCTAAAAAAAAATTTCATGGTTAATAGGTAACTATGAGCAGTCTGAGGGGTGGCTGTCCTCCCAAGGAAAATGTCAGAATAAGCCTGTGACCAGCAAGTGTTTATGCATGAGAAGCGTTAAGAAAGCAAAGGAGGTGATGAGGTGAGTCTGGTTGAGAGCCAGGTCAGTGTGGATGAAGGGGTCTGCAAACCTGACCCTGACCTGAATCTTGGAAACCTGTCCTTCACTGTTTATATCAGGTTCATAATATTCCTGTTTTTTGTGCATGACCTTTAATAAAAATGCAAAACATTGTTAGACACCACGTTAATTTGAGCTTTATTTGGTTGTTTTCTTTGTTTTGTTGCCCTGATCTGCGTGTGATTATTGTTATGAGATATACTTTTCTTAAAATAAACATTTCCTTTAATATCAACACTGACTCTTCTCCGCTATAAAACGCACATTTCAACATTTTGCTCATTTCATCATAATACTGTCACCAGAAACCAGGCTCATTGAGCTCTACCTTAAAAACCTAAGCACTCTTTTTCAGTGTGACGACCGGTCATGGCTGAACGGCTTCAAATTTCCATCAACTGAAAAGCGAATGACGAAAACTGCGTCAGACGGTCGTTTCCTCAGGTAGGAGTGGATAACCTTGACAAATCCGCGCACGGTTGTAGCCCCCTTCATTCACTCGGCGTCCTTCTTCCGGCGCAGAGATGCCGTGATGGATCTCAAACAAGTGAAAGAGTGGGGCGTGTTAATTTGCCACTGTTGATAATAAGAGCCACTTCGTGCGTCACGGTGCGCTCTCCACCCAGTACGTCAATTGTTGGCAGTGCAGCACGTGATGCTCCGTCCTGCACTGTCCTGTGAGCGCTCAGTCAGTACCACAGCCGCTCACACACACACACATACACATACACATGCTCGTGGTGGATGTATTCATGCCTCTCTCCAGATATTCTCTGAGAACTGCGATCGCTTAAGCCCGGATTTTACTGCTACACAAGACTCACGGTGAGAAACTCTTTTCCTGCCATTGCTTCATTCAACATTTCTTTCTGCTTAAAAGTAGTTTTAATTGTTCTGTGTCATACCTGAGATGCTTGCCAACTTTAAAGAGAAGTTGTGTTATGTTGCGAACAAAACTGCATCAAGATTCAAATGTGCTCCGCAACGCACGCAGGTCTGGGCTCTGGAGTGACCTTGGTTCTGCTCAGGACAAGCAGTGAAAACAGAGGCAGAGGTATCGCTGTCATCACCAGATGTGTCACCTGGTGCTCCCAGAGAGTGATCTGTGTCGTAGTGTTGATGATGGAGATTTTCACAACCTGCAGCTGGTTTCCGCATGCTTTCAATTCACACAGTCCCAGCCTCTGAGGTCTAATGCTGCCAATTGGCCATTAAAGACATGCGTGCTTCAGACTTTTAACACTTTTTACTTTGTGAAACAGCTGATTAACCTTTAACTGTGGCTCAGACTTGTAGAGCTCGATGATAATCGCAGGATCAGCTGATCAATGAAGTCTGGACATCTAATTGAGACTGATTGCAGAAGCTGATGTATACAGGGTTGCCTCTTTATAATCAAACTGCATTTTGCATCGTGTGTGACACTGTCAATAAGTAACAGCACCTGTGTATGACTGTGTACATGTATCACTAATAACCACCTTCTTCTAGCTAATAGGTGAGGTCCTTCAGCCTTATCTGCAAATGAATATAACTTTTAACACACCGTGGTCTGTTTGTATTGGAAGGCTCAAGCCTCTCAGTCTTTGACATGCTGCTTTTCATATATGCTGGTATTCGGATCTCTTTTTAGCCACAGACTGTTGGTAAGAAACAGAAATCCAAATCATGTGTTTTTACTAGACTGATGATGCAGCTTGTATATCTAAAGCCAGGCCAGGTTGTAACTGTGCGATGAGAGTCTCTGAAGGACAGCACAATGAATGACCTCAGATAAAGCGAGCCATACCCAAAGGTTTCTTCCAACCTTTTTCTGTAGTATGAAATTGCTCCACACAGACTCGGTCTTAGCATTAGCTGGGGTCATCTGAACTGTGTGCTGATTTTTTTTCTCCAGAGGATTATTGGATGGGTCAGTTGATGTTTGCTGTTTTTATTTTTCCAGTGTTGGCCCCATAATGCAGTCGCTGATTGATATTACGTATCTACTGTAGCGTGGGATTGAATGACAAGACAGAAAAGCAGCACTCGGGTGGTTTTTACAGTTAATGCACACAGGATTATGAAGACTTGTGAATGGCTGTGCTTGGATTATTACATCATGGGATCATCTTGTTGTGCACAGAGGAGGAAATCTGTTTTAGGGATGTTTTGGTTTTTTGTGGGGGGGGTTTCTTTAGGACAGTAAAAGCGCATCAAGAATATGTAGGTTTGTTGTTGTCGGTAGAAGCTCTAAGAGGGTTTGTGGAGCATTTACGGTCTGCTGAATCGGCTGATACGGAGGAAGCTTGTTTCAGGCTGATGTAAGCAGTGACGATGAGATCTCAGGCGCATCACTGCTGTAGCATCACGTGAAAGGTACAGCACCTTCATTCAGCTCAAGTGTGGAACTGGAAATATGAGCTCACAATCACAGAGGATTATTTTTCTAGTTACTTTCTTTTTCTTTTCTTTTTCACTTCAGACCTCATATTTTGCAGTTTTTGCATCTCAGTTGGACAACATGATGGAGAAAAGAGCCCACTCAATAAGTAATGAGCCTATGCAGGCCTGTGATGTGGATAAGGAGAACGTATGAGGGCACTTCATCCAAAGCATCGTGTTTACTTCCTCTATTACATTTGGGTTGAACCAACCACTCCCTCAAAGAGGGGTGGGGATGGGTGTTGGCGCAAGGCTCCAGAGGATTAAAGGATTTACATGAAAAAAGCTTCACTAAAGTTAAGCTTTTCAGAACAGGGAAATTAAATAGAACAATTTGCAGGATTGGGAATTTATGGGACCCGAAAACATTGCATGAGATACAAAGAGCTGCGGTGAGGGGCGTGGAGAAGTGCACCCCAAAGCTCAGAGCACATTGCACTCCAACATCTCTGTGAGTTTCCTCACATGAGCGCCCCTCTTCTGGCCTTTTCACAATACTTTGTGTTGGTAATTTAAAAATATAAACCATCTATTGCTATCATGACTCAATTTTTCAGTTTCAGATGTCTTGACATTTTTTTTCTTTTAGAATTTGCTACCATAACTCAGACTTCATGAGTGCTGGCCCAAATGCAGAAAGGCCTAAATCTTGACACAACAAGATCGTGTTTTACAGATGGGATAAGGTTCTTGTTTTTCTTTTCATATGAACCAAATGGTTTTTGGTGTTGTGCATCCACAAAGTCTCCTGACTTTACCACACAGCCCTAAAGGCTGTAAACAGACAGCAGTGATGTTGTCTTTGCAGCCCTGCATTCCTCTGTATTGTTGTTCTCCTGGTGGCATGACCAATAGCTAATGTGACATTTAGTTACTTAAAAGTTACCCTGGAATCACGTGTGACCTCATAAAATGCCCGACTGGTGGAGTCTAAATTCTTTATAAAGGATTGTTTAACCCTCTCCAGCCTGATGAGCATCAGTCATCTTTTTTCTCAGGTCCTCGGGTGTTCAGACGACTCATTTCTTCACGCCACGATTCACTTCCTTTTAGTGCTTTTCAGACTATATCAGAGGTCTGATATTTAAAAGCTGGTCAGAGTCCACTAACATCTCAGCATCATCACCTGTTGCTTTTATATTCAAATTTACTGCTAATACTGCTCCTCATCACAAACGTATAATATTGGATCAAATTCTGCAATAAATCAATGTGACTGGTTCTGCTGGTTTCTTATTTTCTCCCTTAAAGACTTGTAGTATTCTCTGGTAATGTTTTAGGTCACATTTATGCAGAAGCATAATAAAATTGTCCCCAAATCTTATTCTTACAGCTGTCTTTGTGACAAATTGTCTGTGATCCTGTCTTTATGGTGCCATTCTTTATTGGCTCTGGAGAGATATAACCATGTGTTACAATCCAGTGGCTTATTAGGAGGTTAACCAAGCAATAAATGGGGTCTTACTTGTGTCAGCTACTGTACAAAGTGTTATTTAACGATCACAGTCAGGAAATTAGACTCACTAAGGGCAGAAACCTTCTACTATTTCTTTCACAATGTAGATGCTTAACGTTGTTATCATTTAATAATACAACATCATTACTAAATTAAATGTTATGATGTCCAAACACCATTTTGGGTGCAACTATCGCTCTGTTTTGTTTTTCTGATGCAGGACTGAAGCCAAGAACTGAAATCCAGCAATCGCTCTTCAGCATCGCTCTTCCTTTCATCCCCACCTGACGTTTGGCCTCTGTCACTTCTTCCCGTCTCTCGCTCTCTGTTTCTCTCTCCACTCGCCCCCACCCCCACCCCCCTCCTGACCCTCAGCCTCCCTGATGCCTAAGAACAGCAAGGTGACACAGCGCGAGCAGAGCCATGAGCACGTCACAGAGTCGGTGGCTGACCTGCTCGCACACGAGGAGCCGCTCGACTACAAGAGCAGCTCCCTGAATGTCGGAGGGGCGGCGGGGAAGAAAGTCCCTCAGATAGAGGTCCCTGAAAACGATGGGCGACCCGCCTGGAACAGCAAACTGCAGTACATCCTGGCCCAGGTGGGCTTCTCTGTGGGCCTGGGGAACGTGTGGCGCTTCCCTTACTTGTGCCAAAAGAATGGAGGAGGTGAGTTAGAGGCAATACTTACAGCATTTACCACATATATACATTCTTCTTTTTAAATATGATTCATAACAGCCTGTCTGGGTCTTGAGCTCTTTCAGGCATCCTACTCATGAGGATTTTGCACTTAAATTCTATGTAACTGATGAGAGTTACATTTATTTCTTTATTTAATTAATTAACTCCCTTACATGTTACTCCACCAACACTGCCAGGAAGTAATTTATTATCAATTATCATTTATCCACATTCAGTTACTATGATGACGGAGAAATTAGTTTCATATTACCAGCTGCGGCAGCACGGCTGCTATTGTTGTTTGTGTCTTTGTGGCTCAACACTTTTCTTTTGACACTTACTGTAGTACTTTTTCCCATATTTAGCAGGTATTTATATTTCAGTCTCTGTGGAACAATTTTAGTCACAAATCTTTACAAACCCAAATGAAGACTGAGGTTGACGATGGCTTTGGTCTGAGAACTCATGATGTCACATTAATTTTGTACAGTTGTGTTGAGCAATAACTCTTCAGGCTTTCTAAAGGTCTTTCAAAGGTTTTCTTTGGGCATCGGCTGCGTTTTTCACTCATTTTCAGTCGTCCTGGTTCCTCACAGTGTTCAGAGCAATGTCACTGACCTATGAATCGTTCAAGCATAAAAAGGCACATAAGTAAGGGGATGAACCAGTGTTTTGTCTACACATAACAGACAACTTAGCAAAGAACCACTTATAAATTGTATTTTTAGGCACTTTGTTACTAGCAGGCATAAAATGTATATCTTACATAATGTTATATGTTTTTATAATGTATACATTTTTTTTAGTTGAATCTACAAAATATATCAAAAAATAACAGGGCTGAAAACCAGTGGCAACGGGGTTATGGCTCCAAATTAGAAATGCTGTTTCAAAGAGGCGTTCAGGAGAGAAGTACAACAGGGAGTGTCTACATTTTTCCAGCAAAATATGAGAGGTTATAAATAACAAACTCTAATACAAAGAGAAGCTAAAAGTAAAAAGAACTAAAAGCTACAGATCCTACAGCCCAAACAGAAATCAAACATGAAAACCATCCAGAAGAAATCTTAAATACAAAACCCATACTAGAATAAATTATATTATCAAAGGTTCAGCTTGAAACTCACCAGGTAACATCCAAAGTATTAGGATGAAAAAATGAAATAAACCGGAATAAACTTGTAACCTATAATCAAAGAACTGAGAAAACCAAACAGAAAATAACTAATAATCAGCAAGAATTAGCTTAGGGATTATAACAGATGCATGTGGATATTAAGAAAATATTCTTGTTAGCATTTTGGTATTGATCGCTCAGTCCTATTTGAGCAATGGGATTTGTTTTCTTTACAGACAAGCATGTTCGTTTGCCACAGAGAGAGCTGTTCATCTCATGACCTCGACTATCAAAAACAACACGACACTTTCATTCATTTCATCCCTGCCAAGAGAGCAGCTGTACTGTGCATAAAGCAGCCAAGTGTAAAAATAGCTGCATTATTGATTACTATAGCCAGTAGGGCAGGCGAGGCTCAACTGATATCCTGGTAAACAGAGAGCTGTATGGAGAATGAATGTAACTGTATGAGGTTTTATTTTTCTCAGGTATGCATGTACTCTATGTAATCGGAGGTGTATGCAGTGTAAACTGGTGTTCATTGTAGGAAAAACACCTTGTCATCATGGGCTGACAGATCTGCTCTTGCTTCATTGGTCTAAGTGTTTTTAGCTTTACTGCTTGTGCCTGACTTACAGCATATACGTAGGATTTATTGCCTATAGGCCAGATTTACTGCCAGTAATCTTGCACCAGCACTTGCCAGGTTATGCGATTTGACAAGCAGGCATTTTTCATTGTGTAATTTGCTGTCTGCCACCCAATTACAGACACATTAAAGATCAGGGTTGCTGGCCGCTACTGATGTGTGGACTCCTCTCTCGTTTCCTCCTTTCCTCAGGACACGCCTTTCTCTTTCTCGTTCAGCATCCTCTGTCATTCTTCCTCCTCTGAGATGCCTATCCTACATCACATTTTTTAGTGGCCTCTGGTTTCAACTAGCGGGTGATGAAGTGGATTTCAAGTTCGCTCACTAAATTTAACTTCCTCTTTATTTCAGCTTTCTGGATTTAGCCTTTTTCCTCCTCTCATCTCTCTGCCTCATTACTCCACCGACTGTGAGATGCATGTACTACTGAATGTAATTCCTGCTTCTGATGTATTAATAGTACATGTTTGCCAGCTATAAGTCTTTATATCCGGGATGATGACTCACCCTTCACACATAAAACACAGTTGCGTCCTGATGATTCCTCTCTGGATTAAGCTCCAAAGGGGACAAATTCAGACATCCTTTAAGATTAAACTATATTTCAAAGAGTATTTATCAATGAGGCTGAGTTAAACAAAACAAGTTTTATTCCAGCAAAAATGCTGTCAGGAATATACCAGGTTATGCAATGGGCATTAATTTTTACTTCTACGTTACATCTGCGACGTACCCTGTGTGTAGTTAGCAGAGGGATTGCTTTCTTTAACTTGATCTGTTATTTTCTATTTAAATTTAAAAAAAAATGAAGGAAACGGACAGGAGGAAACAAAATTACTGAACTGACCAATCACAGTCATTGTGGGCTGAGTCGAAATAGTTATATTTTCTAGAGAGGTGCAACTCAGAGCTTAGGTTGGGCCATAGGTTACGGTGTGGGGTTCCAGAAGGGTTAGTACTTAAGACGTACAGTGAATATTTAACCCAGACACAAAATCCACTGTCAGTCTTCATCACAGCTGCAAACCCAAAAAACTGCACGTAATTTTGTCAGAGACACCCTCCATAACAGACAGCAATGCATAGCTGCAGTTTAACAAGCTGAAGCTGCACAAGTCACCTTTGTAGGGAGTTCTTAAGTCAGTGATCTGGCAAGTAGTCAGCAAACATTTTTTTGCTTTCAATCCAGTTCATTACGTTTTTTATTAAGTTAATTGTAGTTTTTAGTGGTGTCAGCCAATGGTTATTGAAGGCATCGGTTGACCATTTTCACTGTAGTTAAACCAGATGTAACAGACAATAGAATAGAATAGAATAGAATAGAGTCGCCCTTTATCGTCACTGCACAACGAAATTGTTGGAGGGAAAAAAACTCGTGCGCCGCCCGGGAATCGAACCCGGGTCGCAAGAATGGGAATCTTGCATGATACCACTACACCAGCGGCGCAACGGTATAGTGCTAATGGAGGCCCATCATAGCATAGCCCTCTTTACTGTGCACTTTATGCTAATGTTTTCATCATGAACTTCGTTTTGTATCGCATAAAACCTGAGAGGAGGGACTGAGGGTGTTTAGTGGGATCACGCGAGAAGTAAAAAGGTTATTTTCCCACAGTTTGATACAACTGTCCTACTTTACTGTAGCAGCTAGAGGACACCCAGTGCTACCCATTAGCTTAGCATTAGCATTTTACAGCATGAAAAAAACTCCCTATCCAGGGGGACAAGGACTTGTGATTTCCTGTGTAAGTTAGCCAAGCAAACAGCAACACGTTTTTCCTAGAAACACCAAATCTTTTTTTGTTTGTTTTTTCAGGCGCCTATCTGGTTCCTTACTTCATCCTCCTCCTCATTATTGGCATCCCTCTCTTCTTCTTGGAGCTGGCAGTGGGTCAGAAGATCAGGCGTGGAAGTATCGGGGTGTGGAACTACGTCTGTCCCCGCCTGGGTGGAATAGGAATGTCAAGTCTGATGGTAAGCTGAGATGCTTCTGTTCCTGTAAGGAGTGTGAGACAGAGCCATCATCTTTTTAACTGTGAGCCAAATGTACACTCTTTCTTTAGCAGTGCTCTTAAAGTCTTTAGCGGCTCCATAGGAAGCAGTTTGATAAGTGAAGCATGGTGATAAGATCAAAGAGGTTCTATCTATTTATCTATCTAGTTAAAGTTATATCTTGATGCAGGTTTATGAAGGTATTGACGTGTCTGAGAGTGGAAGGTAGTCTTACTTCAGAGCTGCAGAAGTAGCTATAAATATCTCACAGAAGATCACTGTTGAAAAGAGAGCACTTCAATTATTCATGCTTCCCTCAACCTTATTTAGCTTCTGAATGTCCTTGCTGGCAAGGCTGCTCCAAAGACTGACAGCAGCATTGGGACATGCACAAAGCACCTGCCTCATTTGCATGCTTTTCTCACTCTGCACAGATGATCCTCTGCACATGTGATGTCTATATCAAACCTGACATCACATATTTGTACCTCATTAAATGTTATCTGGCTGTTTCTGTCGCATAACGCCATCTATCTGTCTGTAGGTGTGCGGCTTTGTGGGTCTCTACTATAATGTGATCATCGGTTGGAGCATTTTCTACTTCTTCCAGTCCTTCCAGTATCCTCTCCCATGGAGTGACTGCCCAATCAGAAAGAATGGGACACTTGCCAGTGAGTTTATATGAACTTACTTTAGTGCAATACCAACATTTGTTAATTGACAGTAAACGCTGTTTCACAGATGCATTAATTGCCGTTAGTTTGGAATGACTACCCTTATGGTAGTGCTAAAGGAAGAGTCATAGAATCGCGAAGAATCGCCTTCTGGGGACTAAATGTCTGAATTTCTCTCCAAAATCTCATGGTAGTCGTTCTAGTTGTGCAGTTACAAAAGATGACTAAGGGATACTGCCTCCAATGCCATTCTGCTAGGATGGCTATAGATAAACAGGAATGACAGTTTTGTGCAGACACAGGTTGGCCAAAATGTAAAGCTAAAGTTTAAAGTGCAGCAACTTAAGTTTAGCTATGTAACATGGTTTAGTTATTCCAAACTGTGATATTTCCTGCATATAACCAAAGTTAAAGGAAAAACCCTGAAGACTGATCTGGACTTAATGTCAAGAGTCTCTTGGCTAAGAAGAGGAATTTGGGGATGGAAAAGCAATTTTCCTTTTAGCCAACCATTTAAAGAAAGGATACAAAAAGAGTTCGTATTTTTTCTCTCATAGGGTTCAGAAATTCACACATGGGTCTTTCAGACAGTGGGAACAAACAGCCAGTATGAGGTTTAAGATGAAAGACAGTTTGGATTCTTGAATTCTCGTAAAACCACCAATAACTTGAAGTGATTATTTGGCCCACTCTTCATTACAACATCGCTTCAGTTCATTGAGAATTGTACGTGTTTGTTTATTAATAACTCTCTTAAGTTCCCATCGCAGCATTTCTCCCATGTTGAGGTCGGCACTTTGACTGGCTTTTTGCAGATCCTCGATTCTTTTCTTTTTCAGACATTCTGTTGTAGGTTTATTACTGTGCTGTGATTGTTGTCATGACCTAGCTGTGGCCAAGCTTTAGCTGTCGAACAGATGGCCTCACTTTTGACTCTAAATATCTTCGGCATACCGAGAGGTTCATGCTTGACTCAATGACTGCAAGGTGCCCAGGTCCTTGCAAAAACAAGCCCAAATCATCACCCTTCCACTACCATGCTTGGCAGTTGGTTTGGGGTGTTTGTACTGACATGCTGCGTAGAGCAGGGCGATATGAC